ATGTGGCAAGAAAAAACAACTTCCAAAACTCAAATGCAAAAAAGCATATTTCATGGTCAACAACTTACTATAAGAGAATGACAAATGAAGACAACTGACACAAGCAAACCTTGACAACCTGATAATGTAAAACTTCCATTTTCCATATGAGCCATCCACCAAAAGTTAGCTTGAAGCAAAAGAAAATTGGAAGAAACATTAAATCCTTACAAGGATGGAACAGGAACAACTGTAACTTCAAAGAGATTACCTGATAGGATGGAAAAAGAAAGGCTCTAGATTTTGTCCAAGTAATCTATGTGGTCATATTTCTTCATCGCTTCCTCCAACTGAGTCAAGTATTCCTACATGAGATTATTTTCAGCATTAGAAAAACTAATATCGCCAACAACTTGACATAGAATACAAGGACAAATTAGGATAACATAATAGAAAATTGAAGTTCCTAACTTGATCGTGTATTGAAGTTAGGTGAAATGATTCAATGATTACTGCCAATCTCTGTAAGAAAATAGTTCTCATCAGTACCATTCCACTTTTTTTATGTGACCTCCGGAAAATCAGTTCCATTCATTTATTTACGTCGCTCTTAAATAAAATGGGATTACTAGAAACCCACTTCTCAACCTTTCCCTTTGTATTTTCTGTGGAAGTAAATTGCCTAGTCTCTTCCTCTCTAATTTACATAAAAAAAATTATACTAGATAACTCGAAAAGAGAAATTTTATTGTACATCCTCCTCGCAGCCTTCCAAATCACTGCATTTTCAGAAATTTTCTGGTTTCTAACCATTGGAAGTCAATCTTATTTTCACCTTCTTCAAATGGGCTGCAGACTGTTGTCTTATTGTTCTTTAATACAATTTTTGTCATAATTCTTGTAGAAAAATTTTGATCTTTCCTTAGTCCATGAGAATGTCATGGTCTTCTTCACTAGTAGAACTTTCATCATGGAATACATGAGCTATGTTGTGACAGAAAATGGATCATTATTGTTTTGATAAGAAAAATTTGTACTACTACGTGAAATTTTGTACAATTGCATATGGTTACATAAACAATTAATTAACAAGATCGAAAACAAAAAAGTTCAATGTGAGTTTGCAAAATTTGTGTGATAGGAAACTTGTCCCATCCTTAGTGTAATTTACGAGGTTGAGCAGGAGATGACGAGAGATACACTGGATAATTACGCCATATGATTTACTGAGGATTTGTTTAATTTTTATGCTTGATCATGTCTTATGCACAGAGATTACACGTGTGGAGCCTTGCTTTTCAAGGGACATGGATTTTCCAATGTGGATTTCCAATGGCTTTTGGCATATATTGTTTTGCCAATGGAGAGAGGACTATATGCTCGGTGAAAATCAAATTTGTAATAGAAGAAAGCTCAAAATGATACCCTTTTTTGACAAATAAACACTACATAAAGTTGAAAACTTCAATTATTTTAAAAAATATGACTTATAGGTAGACAATTAAAATGTTAAATAGATGCAAACATAACATGTTGCCATAATTTATAATCACAAAATGTGGAAAGCCTATGTAACATTCATCGCATTTTTCAAATTTCATGGTATTCTATATTTTATTTTGTCAACAGACCTTAAGTTGTCCATGTAATCCTGCTAGATGTATATTCTAAGAAAAACGATGAAGATGGGCTTAATCTATAACACAATAGATTTAAGTAGTACTATAGAAGAAACAGTCCTATACATTGTTTGTATTTTGAGTTCACTGTTCAGCTCAAGGAAACTAATTTTGAGAACAGCAAATATGAGAAAAGCTAAATTTTCATAATAAGGAACCCATCTTTCGTAACAGTTCAGTAAGCCTTTAAACATACAGGAAAACGTCACAAATTAGGTCTTGCTAAATATCTAAAACCTCACAAATTAGGTCCTGCCAACATAAATAATCCTCTTAAATCCCATATAAAACCTTTCAACCATTTGGTTCTCATATACAAACTAAACCACCCAAATCACTAGACAAGAACTGGACATTCATTCTCCTTCATTCAAATGCATTCTCTATCGCTCAAACACAAAAAAAACCCACAGAGTTAACAGGACAACATATGAAAGATAGTTGATTGTCAAATAATGATATTATCGAAGAAACCTGCTCACCAGAGTACTCATTTACTAATAAATTACTTTGGCAATCCCCTATAACACTGCAGAGCAAGACAGTACCTTTTTATAATCTTGAAACCATAGAAAATAAAAAAACCCACAGTAAATCCAATAAGCAAGCAACTGAAATTTCAGGAAGCATTCATCATAAAATAAAATAAACCCTAAAATTGTTTGTTACCTCTGGTTTGGGAAAATCAATCCTGGCTGCTGCCATCACCTCTTCCTGATTTTACACAAAAACAACAACTCTAAGAAGAAAAGAGAAAACTGAGAAGAGAAATCAGCACTCACCACGGAGAAGAGGGGCTCTCCTCTCTCTCTCTAATCTGGCAGACTTTGGTTTCCAAATGGGCTCCAAATGAGATGAAAAACTCGTTGAACGGTCATCTATTTTTGGCCGTTGGATTTGTTTTTTCCAACGATCGGGACGGGGTAAAGCTAAACCTATTTCCAACGTCACGGTAGAATTTTCGTTGTCCTTTTAGGTGGAAAATAACCGTTTGGAGTGGCAAAACTAAGTAACATGACATCTTGTCTCTATGGATGAGTTTTGCAGTCCTCACTCCCTCTACCTTACTTCTTTCAAAACTGATGGTGATATACCTACAATTTGAAAGATGGTGGTATCTCAAACAAAAATAAATTTGTGAAAGGAAACATAATAGAAAGCCCAAAAAGATCAGGGTGCCTAGAGGAAGTATAATGTACTTGCATTTTTTAGAGCTTTCTTGGAAATTTGACATTTAGAATTTCTCAATTCAAAAGTGGATGAAGTTGAAGGCTCAAACTATATATTCTCCTCTCTTTTTCCCCTTAAAGGCCGGATTGTATTTTCTTTTTTCATTGCTTCCCTTAAAAGGCCGAATTTAATCCTTTCAAGTCGAACTATGGGAAACAACCCTTCAAGGATCAAACTAACATGGGTCACGCCACTAGTATTGAACCCACTGCTAGTTTGACCACATGTAGTTGAACTAAGCTTCTAGTTCGATCCTCGGTCAAACTGCTCTTCCAAAACCGAATTCAAACATTGAAGGATCAAACTAGTTTTTGGTTTTTCCCGGTTTGACCGACGCTAGTTAGCTCGGCCCTTGAAGGGGTCGACTTCGAACTATATGTGAAAGTGAAGAAATGAAGTTATAGTATTAAGGCATTGTACTATTTCTTAAGAAAAAAGAGGAAATTCACGTGCATGTTCTGAATCCTTCATATTAAAAAATACCCACTTTTTTAAAAAAAATTACCAATTTACCCTGCGTTGGACATTGAAGGCTCGAAGTTTAATTTCCTAAAACATTAACCGAAAAAAAAAATAAGAGAAAAATAAGAAAATTGCCCTGCTTTGGACATTGGAATAGAGTTAATTTAGGAACTTTAGAGTCTGAAGTTTGGTTTCGGGAATTAAACTTCGAACATTCAAGGTTTGAGTAGGATCAATTTAATAAAAAAATAAAAAACGGTGTGAACAGAAAAAATAGAATTTGGAAGGCATCAGTTTCAACTATTTTGAAAGCATTATGATTTGATAATGCTAAGCAGTTTTTCTAACAGCTTTTGTATGTTCATTCATCCAATCTGGAGGATTCTTTTAAGTCGTTGGAAAAGAGGTTTTGCATCTAAGGCAAGGTCTTTATAAAAGTTGGAGATGTAGTTTAAACATTCGAGAAATTGTTGTAAGTCTTTTTTATCTTTTAAAACATCAGGGAATTTGTCTGCAAATAGAATAGTTCTATCAATAGGAAGGATTCTCCCTTGGTAAACATTATGACCAAAAAATCTTATTTTAGTGTGAAATAAGGTAATCTGTTTAGCAGATACGACCATACCAGCATTCTTTATGGTCTTTAAGAAAATATTTAAGTGTTTCCAGTGTTGTTCAATAGAGTTGGAAAACTAAAACTTCCTCAATATAGACAGTCATGAATTTAGTGTAAAGGTTAAAAATGTCATTCTATATTTTGAAATTCTGAAGGAGTATTTTTTAAACCGAATAGCATTACATTCCATTCATAATGTCCAAACGGAACATTAAACGCTGTTTTATACCTATCATTTTTGGCAACTTGAATTTGCCAGTAACCAGATTTTAAATCAAATTTAGAGAACACAAAAGCCTCAACCAATCTATCAAGAAGATCTTTTTTATTGGGCATTGGATATCTAATCCACCTTAGGGTTTTATTCAGAGGCTTGTAATTTATAACAAGTCTAGGGGCATCTCTTTCAATTTCGAAAGTTTTTTAATATAAAAAGCTGAACAACTCCATGGAGAAGAACTTTTCATAATAAGCTCTTTATTGAGCCAATCCTGAATTTCAATTTTACAAATCTCTAAAAGCCTACTATTCATCTAAATAGGTCTAGCCTTAGTAGGAATATCACGCTCATTGAAATCATGCTCATAAGGGAATTCAACAATGTGTTGCTTCATGCTCCAAAAAGCATTTGGAATTTCTACACAATCTTCTTTTTCAAGAATAGTTTTAAAATAACTTATTTCACGCTAAAGTTTGGGAGAAACAATTTTTCTTCAATTGTTTTGTATTTCATTTCTTCTTTTAAAGAAAATAAAAAAATTTCTTCAATAGAGTTTATATAAGGTTGCAACCTTGTATGTAGAACTACGGATGCACCTCAAAAATCTATCGGAAAAAGTAGTTTTAATGTTGAAAAACCTTTTGATTGATCATTTCAAATTCGAGATGTATGACTATGAAAAATAAAAAGATTTTAAGTCTCAGAAATAGTACATTTTACAACATATTATCTACACCTTCCATTTTCAAGATTTTCATATATTTATATATCTACTTGATTTTAACTATTTTTGAAATTTAAAATTTTATAATTAGATATAAAAATAGATTTTGAAATAATCCTAAGAAAATTTTACATCAAAATTATATACTGTGATAAAATTTGAAGGTGCACCTTACCTCTACAGCTACAGATGCATCAATATGCTAACTGAACCCTTATGTTATTTATTTCATGAACCCTTTGTTTATCAATGAAACCAAATTTAACTTTGTGTCCTTCAATTTGAGCTTCAATTTCAGTATTATCAATTTTTATTGGATATGACATATTTAAAAATGGTGTTCCTAAAATAACCGGTTGACTTAGACCGGTTACCATAATACAAGTTAAGTTAAAGCATGCTGCATTATAACAAACAACAACATCTGGAAGTATGTAGTTTATTAGCATTTTGTTACCATCAACAGTGTTTAATACTTGGGTAGTTTTGCTAAAATATTTTGTTGGAACAAGTCCTTCATTGATAAAATTTAAATCTGCTCCAAAATCACTAGGAGCAATGGTTTGGAAACTAAATTCCTTTTGAACCACAATATTTATTATAGTAAACCAACATTGGGTAATAACCTTGTCTATAAGGTTAATATATTTAATATTTTTTATTTGAGTTTTCTCTAGGGTATTACAACCCTGTGACTCTTCTTCTTCAATATGGGGAAGAGTATCCTCAACCTCAGGTGGTATAAGTTATGATGATAATTACCTATTAGGTTTCAAAATCTCCTTCATTAGGTAAGTCTTTTTTTTTCTTTGAAAGAAATTAATTGTAAAGCTTGGACTCTAGTTTTAAGAGTTATAAGTTCATTTCGAACTTCATTAAATTCATGTTTGAGTTCGGGAATAGAGGGTTCTCTAACCACTTGGTTTTTAATGTTGAACTCTTTTCAAGATTTCATAAAACCTATAGTCTTCTTTTGTTGGTACCTAAGAGAGTTTAGGAGTAGCAAACCTATATTGAATTTTGGCCATATCTATATATTGGATTAAAACTTCCTTTTTAGCTTCTGGGTTACTAATTTTATCAATCAATGCAATGATCATGCTTTCTTCTTTAGTAAGCACATTTAAACTTAAGCCATTCAAATCAATAATAACTTTATAGAAATTACAATGGCAAGCATCGTCTTTCTCATTTTCAAAATCGGAGTCAAAACTAGAAATAATCAGACCTTCATCCTCAATTTCTCCGATCTGCATATCACCATTCGATTTAGAAGAGCTGTCAGAAGAATCTTCTTTTATTAAAAGAATATTATAAAGTTGATTTTTAATTTCATGTTCGATTTCAAGAGCATTTATTTATTTTTAATTCTACACTTATTTTTATAATGTCCTAATTTTCCTCAATTATAACAGACTGGTATTTTTCTCTTGCCCTTTTGCTGAAAGGATTTGTTGTTTGTAATTTTTTTATAAAATTTATTTTTCTTAGAGGAGGGATTATGATTGGTTTTATGAAAAATTTTCTTCTCCCTAGATTTTCTTCTAAAATGGAATTTTACAGGTAGGAGAGTATTGAGTCCAAATTGCTCACAGAAGTCTCCAAGTTCTTTTTTACATGACCTCTTTTGTTTATCTAATTGCCTTTTTAGTTTGAGATCAATACAAAGAGCAAGACCTTTTGCGCAGATTTTTGTAAATAATTCTCCTAAAGTATATTGAAAATATGGAATAATACCACCATGCTTATTTTTAAGCCTAGTTTTAACCTTTTTAGCAAAAAAGGTTGGGGAGGCCAGAAATAATTTTTTCTGTCTAGTAATAAGCTTTACTATCCTCTCTTGATAGTAATCGAGAATATAAAACATCCTTATACCATTTAAAATGTGAAAGAGTTGACAACATAGATTAGATAATAAATATTCCGATCTAGCAGCTATAAGAGCAGTGCTACCTACAAAATGAAGGGTGATGGTATAGATAACTGTATTAATAGCGTCTCCTTCATCAACAATAGTTTCCTAAACTTGTCTAGGGCTATTTCGGTTTTGACGATCCATTGCGTAGTCGCATTCAAGATTTGATATCTGGCATATTCATACAGGTGGAAATCCCACCAACCTCTAAGCCAGCCAATAAAGCTACAACTATTGCTTTACCTATTTCGGAATCCTTATTACCACTCGTTTTGCACGCTGTAGCATACATTGTCATATGTTTCATTAAATCAAGAATTTGATTTTCTGACATACCATTTATGTTTCAATTAACAATAGACTTGCTTGAATAAGTGACTGAACTTGCTATAAGATCTTCTTCTATTTGAATATCTACAAGAGTGGGCCTAGGGTAATATATTTTAGTCTGAGACACAGGCCTGGTTTTTCTCCCCTAATCAATTTTATGAAGTTTTAAGCTTCCAACTTTAAAAGCACTTTCAATTTCAGATATCTCATGATCAATATAGTCTTGGTCATGTTGTAGGACCTGTACATTTTCCATAATAGGGGTTTTCCCTTTCCTCTTTTCAGAAATATTTAATCTTGAGAGTCTTTTAACTAATTCATTAACAAGTTCTTTATTATCTTCTTTTTTTTTAATCCCTTGAAGATTAAACTTTCAAGTTTCAATAACAAGTGGAGGTTTAAATAATAAAGCCTCTTTAGGTTTTTCTTTGGGTTTATCTGTCTTTATTATTTTTGATGTTATTTAATGTATTTTCTATTCTAGTGGTTTCTTTTCTCAGAGTTTATAAAAATAGATTTTATTTTGTTCAATAATGTGGGCTATATC